CCCCTCCCGCCCCTCCCCACAGACACAGAAGCCGCAAGCGCGAACGCCATCTCTTCCGTTCACATTGGAAACGACCACAACGCCGTGAACGCCAGCTGGCCATAGAGTACATGCAGCCTCAATCAGCACCACAGTACGCGCGCTTGCACGTTAACCCGCGGGCGCTTTCTGCCCGCCAAACCCGCCGCGCGCTCGCGCAGTCGGGAAATAACCCGCGCACCAGGAACAGTTCATACGAGAAACACGCCATTGTCAAGCTCCCCCCCCCCCCCCCCGTTTCCCAAATCCGCACACCCTTCACCTCCCCTTCGATCAGCCTCTCCCGCCTCTGCCCACCCGGCCAGCACAAGGAGTGACGAACTTGTTTGCCCTCTCCCGCTTTACAAGAGCAAAGCGGAAAACGAGACTGAACCATTGAATTGGGCCATATTGTCCGCATGACACGCGTCAAAAGTGCTGCCAACCGTCGTCCCAGAAAGACATTCACTCAATCTCCTAACCATAAATACCTATCCTTTGTCAAAACCAACATTGCACTGGAGGCAAAGGACACTCGATGGGCTAAGCAGGAAACTAGTGGTGAAGACTTGCATGGCCAGCAGGCAACTACAACATGCGTACAATAAAACAGCACAGAGAACACACGAAGGAGAAGAATCGTGATACTGAAGCGAATCACTACGAGTCCATGCTTCACACAAAGTTTGGCAGTAACTGCACAGGCGGTTCCTTGAGAGCCACACTCCATACGCGCACGTCCCCTAAGAAGAAGGAGGAGGATGACAAGAACAAGAAGAACAAGGAGGAGGAGGAGGGGGAGGAGCAGGCGGGGAAGGAGGGAAAGGAGGGTGAGGAGGAGGTCCACGAGGAGGAGGAGGAGGACGAATCAGGGAGCAAAAGGAGAGAGAAGAGCAGGAGATCGAGTGAACACCTTTATGTACATGCTTTCCGCAGCCCTCTCCTCGTCCGTGAGTACCCTTCCGGTACGAGAAGCCTCCGTCGAATACGCACGCGTAAGCATGACGCCATTTCTTTGAGCGATGCGTCGACCCAGATGCCCAACGGAATACATCTTCACAATGCTTCCCCTCGGTCACGCTGTTGCCGTTCCTGCTTCCCGCGCTTGTAGAGCGAACGGGCTCCTCCTCTCTCCGCTCCGTCTAACCCCGGCTATGATGGTGATCAATGGGCTCAGCCTCCGCCTGCCACGTGGCGAAACTAGATCTAGCCCGGCGTCCACGATGCGCGACCCTGCCGCACAGGTTATCGATCTATACCACAAGTCCCTTGCGTCCCCCCGTAACGCGATTGTACTGTGTATCGTAATTGTAGTGTAGGCAAGGAACAAGCAGACCACTTGAAATTGCTGCTTGATTAATTCGTCAGATTATTTCGTCATTGATTGGACAAAACGCGCCCCCGCGGATAAATTTTGGCACGGCCGTGCGCTTCGTTGCTCTTTTAGACCTCCATGCATCTGACCGCAATCACGTCCGGAATTGAGCCGTATGCTCATATCGATCGCGGGAAGAAACAAAGCGCGGACCCAAAAAAAAACCGTGGGACGGGAAAAAATTGGCGGCGGGGTTTCGCGGCGCGAATCCGCGGGACCACCACAGATTGGGATTAGTGGTAATCCCGCCAAACCGGACATACACGTGTCCAGTTGGACGCGTAAGCGGCTACAACCGGTACCACTGGCAAGGGCTTCGAGGGTGACAAGGCCTTGGGAAACTGGCCGCGCTGCTTTCGAGGGTGACAAGGCAGAGCGTACGCAAGGACTTCCCTGACGTATCTGATCCGATTGTGAATGTTCGTGGATGCATTTGACCGTAATTACGGCCAGAGATGACTCGAAAAGTCCCGGCGGTAGCCTTCCCTCAGCTTGCTCAAGACTCTTGTCCGGCGACACGCCGACACTGAGGATCAGAACCCACCAATACAATTAAAATAAATACGAAGCTCGTTGGCGATTGTCGTTTGCACCGTGCCGCCTCCCGACGTCCCTGTCGAAGTACCCAACCACCTACCCATCTCCACCCCTTCCCTGCATATTTCGCTTCCGTGGCGCCATCGCCATGTCCAATGTTCCAGTCCAGGTGCAGCGAAGCAGGGCAAAAACCGGAGCTGCGACCCTGGACAAAGCCTGTAGGTAGCCATCGATCAAATGAGTAGGCGCAGCCTACAGGCCACGAATATTGGCTAACATGTGAGCGCGGGTAGCCCAACCGTTTTTTTTTTCTTTTTTTTTTCTTTTTTTTTCCTTTTTTTTTTCCTTTTAACTCAATACAGGTAGTTCATTATAAATGCAGAATGAGGCCGGGGACCTCACAATTCAACCCGGAATACTGACAGCATCAGCCAGCTTAGCTTACAGGCACACGCCTGCGGGAAGTTCAAAAACTACCAACTTTCCAGAGTCCTACCAACTGTTCTAACTAGGATCTAAATTCGAAGTTTCTTGAGAAGCTGAAGTGGTAGTAATCGTTCTTAGCAGTCGGCCAGCCCTCGAACTTGTGGCTCTTTAGTGTCTCGTAGCTTCCAGCTCCCAGGTCTGTATATCTCACATGCTAGATTTCGCATTTAACTATTTTGATGCCGACATCATTGAATAACTGTAATAATTGTAATAATCAATTCAATGTAGGATTTAAATAGTCATGTGCTACTCACTACCTGATTTACCCTCGGGACTAGCACGGCCCAACGGGTTAAATCCTATCTAAAGACACTCACCTAGTGGTCCACAGCGACCCTAGTTGGGACCGAGTGTCCTGGTCCCCAGCAGGTCTGCTGGTTTTGACAACCCACCCACACCAACATAGCCAAGCTTACTGAGTCCGGAAGCCCGGATCTTTCAAGGTTCCAGGTCCAGTTCCTAGTTCCTGCCTATCCCTCGCTCTCATCCTATACCTATAGGTCAGGGTTCACGGATCCAAGGTGAGAGGACCAGTCCCCTTGTGGAGTGGACCGCAGCTAACTCGCGGTTCTTGGCCAATGTTCGAAGGAACCACAGCAATTGTCTTCTGTTTCCTTTCCCAGAATTGGCTTTTTTCCTCCAGTCCACGCGGATTGCTTGCCTCAAGCCGCTCTTGATGCTGCTTTTGATCTCGAGGTCTGACAGGGGTCTTTTCTGAAACCTTGCTCTGTTTCTGTCCATCCACAGCACTTCGCAGATCAGGCCTCTTGTCACATGCGCTACATAACCCCAGCCACGGTGTCCTTTCACATTTGGAGGAAGGAAGCCTAGCAAAACCCATTTCTCATCCCAAACTACTCCCTCTCCCCCAAACTCTCTCCAGTGATGTGACCACCACATCCAGACCCGTTTAGAGGCCGGGCATTCCCACCACAGATGCCGTGTCGACTCGAAAGGCCACCTACATCTCTTGCACCCGAGCTCCACCACCATCCCTCTCCCAGTTAGCCAGACTGCCGAGGGGGTTACCAGCATGGATAATAGCCAGAGAATACTTACCTGTTTGCCATTAGGCATACAGGTGAGACTCTTCCACAATCTCTCGAATTCTGCTTCTGCCCCGACGAGATCCTGAGTGTATACCGCCTGCCATCTTTGTGTACCCAACCTCGCAGTTGGGCTTGATTCTTCCGTGCAGGGTCTGTAATCCCAAGTCCGCCTTTTTCCCTGGGGTAAGACAGGGTGTCCAGTGCTATTTTGGAAATGAAGCCCTCAGAATTCTGTGCTTTTGGTTTCCAAAGGAACCGGGCCACCAGTCTTCTGATGGCTCTCACCACGCCCTCCGCCAGTTCCCTCACCGTAGTGACGAACCAGAGTATTGAGAACAGTGCTGCATTTACCACCAGAGCACGCCCCACAATTGATAGATGCCAAGCAGATCCCCACACTCGCAGTCTAGCCGCCATCCTCTGCTGCAGCACCAGTCCCTGCCTTGTGGCTCCCAACTGCAGACTGATTAGAACGCCTAGGAACCTTTCCTCTTCTCCGTTAGCTATTCTCTTCATTCCCCATTCTACCTTCAGTTCAAACTGCCAGTGGAGTAGATATGACGACTTGCCCCAGTTCACTGTGGCTTCGGAGAGCAGCGAATACTCCATCATGATAGATTTCAATGCTGTAAGAGAGGGGATAGAGTTCTCACAAACTGCGAACAGATCGTCCGCCAGGGCTTTCACCCGACATTCCTCCCCGGTGTGCAGCTGCAGTCCCTTGATATGTGGATGACGCCGGATTCTGTTCAGGAGTACCTCCATTTGCAACACGAAGATTAGTGGCGCAAGGGGGCATCCTTGCCTTAGCGACCTTGACAGCGTGAACGAAACTGAGAGATGCCTGTTTATCATCACCGCGGATGTCGAGAACGTGTACATGGCGATGACCCATGAGCAAAAGTTGTCTCCAAAACCCATCCTCCGCAGGGTGGTTAAGACGAAAGTCCAACCCACCTTGTCGTAGGCCTTCTCCAAGTCAAGAAGAAGGACGGCCATATCCGCGTTCTCAACCTGTACAACTTCCAACGTCTCGATGGCGGTCACTATGTTGTTGAATATTGACCGCCCTTGTACGAATGCTCCTTGATCCTTCTCCACGAGCTCCGGTAGGTACTTCCCCAACCACCGTGCAAGAGATATGGCCAGAATCTTGTACGAGACGTTCAACAGCGAAATTGGACGCCAGTTCCTCACTTCCGTCTTGTCCCCCTTCTTGAACAGCACTACGATAACTCCATGTGTCATGCCTCTTCCTAGCTTACCCCCTACTAGGACCTCGTTGTATAGCTCCACCAACAAAGGGCCGAAGGAATTCCAGTTAGCGTTGTAGAACTCGACGGTGAGACCATCCACCCCGGGGGATTTGCCTCTGGCCATGGACTTGAGGGTCTGGGTCACTTCCTCTAGCGTGAACGGTCTGTCCAGGTCAAGCTTAGCTGAAGATTGTAGGCGGACTGTGGTATCGTTCCACATGTCTGAAGTCATAGATAGATCCGAATTCACCTCCTCTCGCGGCCTTCTAGTGGTCAGGATGTCTGAGTAGTACATACGTGCGTACCGGAGCATCCCTGCCGCAGAGCAGGCTGCAGGGGCGGACTCATCGAATGGATGCCTCAACATGACCATCTGCTGCTGCGATCTCCGTGGCTGCAGCTTCTGGAAGGTCTCTTTGGACATTGTATCGTGCGTTTCGATCCCTTTCACCTTCAACAACTCCGTCCAAACTTTTTGTTTACTCGCCTGGAGGTTGTCCCACTCCGCCATTCTCTTTTCTCGTTCCGCAGCCCACACCGCTGCTGAAATTGGATGGCCTTCCATCCTCTCCTCCGCTTCCTCCACCCTCCGATGGCAGTCTGATTCCTTCTTGTTTCTGGCTCTAGCCAGGATCCTCGAGCATACATCTAGGAACCCAGATGTGATAGCAATCCCTCCGTCTAGCCATGCGGCCGTCGACTCAAAATGAGGCCTGGCCTCCTCCCATGAGATTATATGTCTTTCCACCCAGTCCTTGATGCCGGGCTCCTCTAGCCACTGACTGTTGAGGCGAAAGAAGCCCCTACCTCTATCGGCCCCAGTGTGTAACCTCAGATCCAAAACCACCGGTTTGTGGTCCGAGATTGGGTTGCAGACATGGCGCACTGCTGTCACCCTTTCCATGGCCTGTTCACTTGTGAGGAAGAAATCCAATCTGCGTTTGGTTACCGTTTGACCGTCCCTATAGCGGTGTGAGAACCAAGTATAGCCCGGGTCCCCCGGGTTCAGAATCGGAAAAGGATCGGATAGAGTTAGCTCTGTGCTAAACTCCAGCAATGTCTGAACATCCTTCCTGTCTGCTGATTGTGAACCAACCCGAAGTGCTTCATCCAATGAGAGGTTCCAGTCCCCTCCTAACACCAGTTTATCACCCCTAGGCACGTGAGACATCAGCCTCAAAAAAAATCTGATTCTCTCCCTTACCACTGTTGGGGCGTACACAGTCGTTAACACCCACTCTTCATTCCCCACCTCCACTTTGAGCCAGGCCCACCGACCCCCCATGTCTACTTCTGAATCTATTACCACCGCTTGAAGATCGCGATGGAGCAGGATTCCCACGCCACCCCGTGTGCCTTGGGCCGGGGCCCAGACTTGAGGGCCGTCCCACCACATAGCAATTTCCCTTACTTTCTCCTCATTCAACTTAGATTCCTGCTGCATTACACAATTAGCTTTCCAATCATGTATCCAACTCCTTAGCCTTCTCCTTTTTGATCTTACATTTGTGTCCCCCATCCCGCGAACATTCCAAGATACTATTCTAAGTCTGTTCATTGTCTTGAGCTGTTGCCGCCTTTGATTGGATGCGGGGGGTTGTTGTGGACCTTGGTCTTGGTTAAGCGCTGCTTCTGGACAAGCTGGTCTTTGAGGATGCCCGCCATTCTTTCGTCAAGCTTGCTGCCAAAAACTCGGAGTGCAGGTTCTCCTCCGCCAGCAGCTTCTCATTCACGTTCAGGAGCACCAGCGTAGAAATACCTGGCAGCACCTGAATTGCTTCCAGTTCTGGGACATTCCTTTCTCTAATTAGACTCATGGGCATCCACCTGATCCCGGACTGTGCCAGGGTACCTGCAATTTCCTCTGAGATGCGAGCATCCAACAGAGGAAAGTACATTTTGGAGTACCCTTGCACTGTCTCGCAGAGGACGCTCGCCATTACGGAGTGCGGGATGAGTTGGACTGGTACATGTTCCCCATAGAGCCTCCTCGTGATCTCCAGGATCCTTGATGGGGTCGGAGATTGGTCTACCACCATGGAGGGGACAACAGGCGTGCCGCTTTCTCCCGTGATTGCTAGAAAATAAATCACCTCGTTTGCCTTGGTGCACAACAGCGGAATCACGCAACGCTGCACCGTCTCCATCTGATTCTTTTCTATTGCGTCAGCTCGTTTGTCCCACCTCTGTCTGCTCAACACTTCCTGTTCTTCCCGCTTCTTCGAGCTTGAGGCCGCTGAACTCTGCACCGAAGATGAGCTCGCCTGTTTGTGGGAGGCCCTGCGTTCATCCTCGCTGCACTCGCTGCCCCACCTTACTTTGGATCGGGAGGTCACCGAGGTTTTGGACAACTCCTCCCGAACTGCTAATCCCTCGGCGTGAGTGGCGGCTACCTCTCTGTTATCTGCCCCCTTCTCTTCTCTGATCCTGTTGAATCGTCCCTGAGGGTGCTGGCGCCAGTTCTGAGTGCCACCTTCTCTGCTTCTTTGTCCATCCCACGAGTCCCATCTCCTACTGTTGCTCCTGCGCACACCTCTGCTTGTACCCTCTCTCTCATCACTTCTACCAACATTTTGGGGGGAGGTGAATCTGCCTGGTGCCCAACTTCTCCAGTCGTACGTTGTTGACGGGTACCCGGGCTGCGGATGCTCCACACGAGTCGGAAGCCAGTGCTGCTGTTGGCTGCAGGCTTGTTGCAGGTTATTACCGTATCTTGTTGAATACTGCTGGTCTTGCCATTGCATGACATTGGGGGGGCCTGGGCCGTAATTCCCCAATGATGCCCCTCCATTACGAGCTAGTCCCATGTTGTTGCCTGGCCATTCCTCTTTGGGCCCCCATTGGGGCGCTGGAGTGAGTCCCGAGCCCGATGCTGGGAAGGTGCCCCAGCCTTGATTTTCTCTCGGGTTTTCCCCTCCTTGGTACCAAGTGTCGGCTATCCCTCCTTGGGGCTGGAACGACCAGGGGTGTGTTGGACGATGAATTGCTGGACCGCTTGCAGCCGATCCGTGCGTTGGGGGAACTGGTTCTCGTTGGAACTGCTGGTTCCGTAGTTTCATTCCCTGGCCTACATACCCCTGCTGCTTGTGCTGCATCTGGTTGGGTGTGCCGGTTGGATCCAGGCCTTGGGCCACCCTGCTCTGCTGCTGCGCGTTTCCGTCTGTTCCCTCCCCTCACACTGGCTCCACTCTGGTAGCTTGTTCCAAGTTCTGCAGGTGTTGACGGAATCCGGCCCTGTGACCCCCTTGCCTTCCTTCATTGGTTTTCCCTCCACCTTCGTTTGTCTTGAACTTCGGACAATTGTCTTCTGTGTGGTAATACCACCTGCATCTGCGGCACCAGTCAGTGTACCGGGATACAATCTCCACTTTCCACCTCACACCCTTTGGCGCTTGAATCACTAAGTCGTCGTCGATTTTGGCTCTGGCCTCTGGCGGCATGTCGAACTTCACGTTCATGAGCTTGGGGCGATCTCTGTCGTATTCTGGTGAATGCACCGCCAACACTTCTCCAAACATATTCTTCACAGCGCTAAGGAGGAAGTAGTAGGCATCAAGTGGGACCCTGCCATGATCCAGAATTTCGTCTCCGCTTCTTGCATTCTAACGTCCTGCAACTCCTGTTTGGATAGTCTTGGTCTGAACTGGACCAGGTACCCGTCTTTTCCCAGTGTAATCTTCAGTTCCTTTTGTTTCACCAGCCAATCCGCAATCTCCTTCGCTCTGGCCACATAAGAAGCTACGTTCTGTCCTTCAAACTTCACCCTTCCTGTTCTGTTTTTTGGTGCAAACAATCTCCTCGCAGACCACCCATCCTCGTATGCGCGGATCAAATCCTCCTTCACTGATCTTGCTAGTTTCCTTGCTTCGCCCTGAAAAATAACTACAACCGATCTCTCCTTTAACCACTGCTCTTTGACTTCATCCACTGCTTCTTCCACGACAAATCTCTTTCCCTCCTCATCCTCTACCACTCTGCCCAAGTTAATGTCTTCAGGACATACCCCTTTATCATAACAGCGACCAATAAACTCCCTCACTCTGGCCATATCATTTGCCATTTTCTCTTAATAATACTCGCAGTGGCACTCAGCGTGTGCTTGGCGCAGGAGCAGGCTGAGGGATTATGCTACGGATGCTGGACGAAAAGGAACTGTCCGATGCACTACTACTGGGGACTCCGAAGGTACTTGCTCCCCCAATGTTTCGTGACCTGGCGCAAATTAAAGCGAACCGCTTTGCTTTACACTTACGATATGTGTATTCCACACCTTGGGGGTCCCACGCAACCTTCTGAAGTTAACCCACCTGCTGTTACTCCCTTGCATCTGACTGTAGAGTCCTGCATGAGCCACGTGTGAATCTGTAATTGTAGAAGATTGCTAAGAGTGAAACAAATCGCTACCTGATCTGGGTAATGTACCCAGAGGAGGCCAGCGACATAGGGGATAGACCGACTTTAACTATTGGCCATGTACAGGGATTACCTGACGTCCAGCTGACGGGAGAGGTGGAGCATAAGTGGGAAGTCCGGAATTCCTTAACGCAAACGTAATCATCTCAAGCACATAATTGAAGCTTAACGCAGTCGTAATTCTCTGTACAGAAAGTGAGGGTTGCTCACAATGCACTTGACCTAGATCGACCGAACTGCCGCTTCTCGTATACACCCTTGAATTTTGCGCAACGATTACGGACCGAAACCATTATAAGTTTTTCCGCCTAACCCCGTGCGTAGCGATCGAGTTTCACCGCGGTACCTTACAGTTCAACTGAGCCCCGAATGCTTTCTGGCTCCTGACCCAGTTGCACTTTGCCCAATCTATCTTCCTGTCCACTCATGTATTGACTCTCCAACAATTACAGCTGAGTCCACGGAACACCCCTTCTGGAGTACATACATAATCCGGATTTCGCCCTTCACTCGTAGTTACCACCAACCCACCCAAAGTCGATGCCTAGCACAATCGTAATTTCCATATTTGATGATAGTGTCTTCTCAAAGTTACATACGACCTAGAGCGCCCGACCTTCGGCTTCACGTATACAACAATGGTTTCTGCACAGATACTGCAGACCGATCCAGTGAGAGTCGCTCCGCCTATCCCCGCCTATCTCCGTGCGTAGCCATCGAGTTTCACCTTGGTAACTCATAGCTCGGCTGAGCACCGAATGCTACCCTATCTCCTAACCAGGTTCCTCTCCTCCAACCCTCTATCCTCCTTCTCTCCCATTTGTATACCGTCTTCTCAGTAGGTGCGGCTACGTCCTCTGAAATCCTTTTCTGGAGAGCGTACGAAATCCGGAGACCAATCTTACCGACATTACCAGGAGGCAAACTAGGAAGTTCATCCTTGTGTCCCTCAACTGAGCAGCATCCGATACACTGTCGATACCCTCCCTTCCATTTAACTGCGAGGCAAAGTCCGCCATATGACACACGAACCGGTGATACGCAACTTACCGCGGTGAAAGCCCTAATTACCCCGCCCACACTTGGTAGTGATAACTAGAGAATCGACCTCTTTACATAAGAACTCAAGCAACTTTGCACTCGTGACAACAATTTGCGATCGTGGAGACATCCCCCACCCCTCCGAGCGCTCAGGGACGGATGCACCGACCTTGAGTAGTGAGATGAGCAATTTTGTTACCGATTTGATGGAGTGACTGCCGGGAGACGGTGGATACTCACTGTTTTCACTCCTTCCTTCATTTCATCATACCAGTGTCGCCGCTAGTAATCACTCCCGACGGTGCTACCAGTCGGCGTGCCAATACCCTACCGCCTAGCATCACACTGTTTCACCATGGTAAGTGTTGTCTCTCCTTCAACCCAGTACATCGCAGACTTACCCGACCTACCCTACTGGACTACCGGAGTGACAACCACCATTTGCAGGCATAGCCCCACCTCCGAAAGGGAGGAGAACGGTGTGTCCTTCGTGCCCCGTCTTGGCGGCGAGGTGAACGACCCGGTAGCGCCACTAGTGCTAATCGCGCGTGGCGACGGCGGATCCGGAGCGCTATGCTAGTCGCCCTGTACCGCCGCTCCTTCATTTTTTTTTTTTCTTCCGTTTGGCGAGAGAGAGGAGAATAAAGTTTTTTTTTTTTTTTTTTTTTTTTTCCCTTCTCATTAGGCAAATAGAAGGGAGGCCGGGGTCCTCACAATTCTACCTGGTAAATGTAACCCAAGTTCTTAGCCAGACCAACCTGACGTCACTGCACTGATTTCCTAGCAAACAGATACCAGACCAACCTGGCAACAGGAAACAGAGGTCAGCTCAACCTGGCCACACAACATAAAAAAAGCAAGTGTTATTAAAGTCTCCCCGGTAGGGCGGAGCTTGATTCTGCACACAATGGGGTTAATCCTTCCCCGCCTAGGGAGGCAATCAATGCCCCGTGATTACGATACAATAGTGTTATGCAGGGAAGCTGTCTCCAGGGGAGCAGTGGCTGAGGCTCTTCCAGCCCTAATGGGAAGAGGCGTGGGTATAAGCTTGTAATCAAATTCGCAATTGGGGCCTTGGGCACTGGGCCCTTTTTTTTTTTTTTTTTTTTTTTTGGGTCCCTTTTTAAAAAAATAAAAATAAAAATAATAATAATAAATTAAATAAAATAAAAAAGCAAGTGGTACGTCGGGCCTGTCGGCCCTACAACGGACTTGTTCGCAGCCCGTCAAGGTTGCGTTTTACCCCCTTGACAACTTTTTTCGTCGTCGTTCATTATACGGTCGTTGGAAGGCTGGAAAAACAAGGCATGGCAGTTTAGGGGGTGGTGGCATCTTATTTGAAACTGCAGGACCGATAGCTGCCCGTGGGACCGCACGGGTTTTGGTCCAGGACCGGTAGCTGCGAGTAGGAGGCCGAGGAGGCCGCAATCCTTTTTCGAAATTGAAACGGTGCGGGTAGTCCTTTTTCGAAATTGAAACGGTGTAGGTCCTACATGTTGTATTCGAATACAACCTGTACCCTTTCTATTCGGATTTTGAAAAGAAAAAACTCTTGTATTCCGATAAAATTACTTCTTCTTTTTGTTGGAGGTCAGCGCCT